TATATATGTTGGTCATCAGTTATTAGTAAGTTCATATTAAAAATATGACAAAGACTAGACATAATCAGTTCTTGTCGTATAATTGAAATAATATCTCCAGACTCCATAGAGTACAATTATCATCTTCTGTTCTTGCGATATCCACATGGTTGTTTGCAAATTGTTTCCTCTTTTTTCTGAAAGTCAACACCTATATTTGTCAACTATCTTAAAAGAGTAGTTCATTGTCAAAACACTAGTCGAAGATTTTCTCAAACTATTCTAAACATACAATGAAATGAACAGCTTAGTTACAATCGTAGACTTCATAAATTTCATCGGTTTGAATGATTTATTATAATTAGTGGCGTAACCAGGGTAGGTCCAGATTGGACTGAGCCCAACCACCGGTTATTTAAAAAAAAGTTAATTGTTTTTTAAAAGAATCAATCAGCAAAATGCAATACATTCATATTTTCTTTGGTTTCCTTTGTGACGATGGAAGTATTTGTGTTATCAGTCAATAAGATTAGACATATTCAGACCAAATTAAATATCTCACAGACAACGTACGTTAAATGCCAACAATTCACAGTTTCAGCAAAAATTTTCCACTTTTTTGTGATAATTGAAGCGAGATCATCGAGGTGCATAAGAGAATATGTTTTAAAACTGAAAACACAATATTTCGAAAAATTCAAGGTGCCATTACTTTCCAGCAAAGGGGAAAATAGACTCAAACATCTGAAACTTGTAAAATTGAGTTTTTTTAAGTTTGAAAAACACATTTTCTTTGGAAAACTCGCCGAGCTCGATGCAATCATCACAAAAAAATAAAGAAATTCTGTTGAAATCGTAGATTTGAGCACTTTACATACATTGTAAATATCTTAAAAATCAAATATTTTGGATTGTGTACTCCATCATACGTTTATTTTTTGAAGTATTTAGTTTGATGGTGAAACGTTTAATTTGGCCTGAATACGTCTAAACTTATTAATTGATAATACAAACATTTCCTTTTATTGTCAGTTCATACTAAGTTGATCGTCAATTGTATACATACTTAATTGTTATTTATATCTCGTGATAGAGAGACGTCTATTGTGATAATAATTATTAGCGTATTATTATTTCAGCAAAGATTTTTTTTCTTATGAATTCTAGAAGCGAAATGCATAAACAATTTTGTGATTCTATTAAATAAGATAAATTTGTTGTTAAAATACTGCTCGGTGATTAATAACCCGAATGTAGTGCTATTAAGTAGTTTTTCAGTTTATCCCTATAGAACGAAAGGATGTGACCGTGAATTAAGCGAAGTTCAACAATACAGAGACATTCTTAAATTAACAATCAATTTTTAATGTGTATCGAACTGTTGCCATGCAAGTAGGCACTCTCAACGAAAAGATCTCTTCCCATCAGTGCTATGGCAACACGGATTTTATATACTACATATGAAAGAACATTTCGGAAGATGAAATCGACTAAAACAACGACACGCAATACAAAGTCTGATATTAGATTGAGGAATTTAAACGCTTTAGCAGTGGAGCGCGATTTTAACATCAATTTCGAACAACCGACAGATCGTTTCACTAATTCTCATAGAAATAATGAAATTTTATTAAAAGTTAACCATGTAACTTAACAATTTTTTCCACTAAATAAATGAACATTATTCTAAAAGTCTGATTGTAAAAATGAATACATCGTTGCATTCTTTCTCTATGAAAAAGAAACACTATCACCTTGCACGACCATTCTAAATATTGTTAGGACTGAGCCCGACCGCTTGATTTTTTCTGGTTACGCCACTAATTATAATCTTTGAATAGTTTTGAAAAAAGGTTCGTTTCGGTAAAAACATTTAAATGTGTGTACCTAAAATTTATTGAACTAATAAACCTTAACCAGGTAACAGTTTTTTAGATTGGTTTTTAGTAGCCTGTATATCATTATCATTCTGATTGAAAAACTTGTGGAAAATACAAAATATTCGTTAACTCTTCTATGGTATCTGTTAGAAATAAATTCAGCAAAGAAAATGTTGCAAACACTTTGACACAGAAGTCTATCATGCTTTGAGAATGAGAAAAAAATTATAAACATGAGCTTTTTAAAATATATTCTTTTTTTCTGATTGTTATATTATATTTAGTATAGATCAGAGTTCTTCTGTTAAAAGTTTTAAAACTCTCGTTTTTTTTTGTATTTTTCAAATAGTAAAGATTACGAAACCGATGATCGTCTGTCTTTCTGAAAAAAACCAGAGGAACACTCTTATTTTAAGTATTTGCTTTCTTTGATTGACATTGTCTTACTTTAAACTTAGTTTTTTCTATGGAAGTAAACATTTTAATAGATAACAAACTTCAATTGAGATGTTTGAAAGTTTTCTTTTTTTACTAATTTAATACAGGATGAATGCTTGACTAATCATGAAAACGGAAAGAATTTTACAAAAACTAAGTTTTTATTTTTCTTATATTAACAACAAATAAACAGAAGATCTTTTTTCCGTGTTTATTTTTATTACAGAGATATATGCTCAAGAAAAATGTCATATCTATCGTTGTTTTCATCACTTAATTTAATGATTATGTTTTTCATAAACACGGGCTTGTAGACTTTGCCAATAATTAGCTGTAACTGAACATCGAAATCGTTTAAATATATCATTAAATTCTTCAATTGTCCATTTTATTTTTCTTGACTGACAAGATTTTGTTTGTAGATTAAAACGAACTCGTCGTTGTTGATTTTTCTTTTTTAACGATTGAACATCATTCATTTTATCGTTTTAAATCAATTAAATAAAAAATAATAATCAATCTCTAGTATATCTCAATAGGTTGTCAATAGAGATTTTAAGATTTATTTTTTGTTTTTCATAAAATATGTAACACATACATCATATATCACAATAAGAAAAAAAGAAAAGAGAAACTTATTCATATACACAAACTGTTCGATGATAACTAGTACAAAATAGAAAGAAGCAAAAAATAAAAATAAAAATAAAAGGGAGAACGAAACAACATCTTTTATAATTAGAAAAAAAAATTAGAGATTAGACCATTTCAAGAATAAATCTATTTTCTGCTATATTCATGCGTATTTTGTAATTTTTATTTCAGAACATACTCAACGTGCATATTAAGGTAGACCATCCTAAATAATAAGAAACAATAGAATAGAATATCTCAGAAATTATTTTGTTTTTCTTCAAATAAACTTACCAATAAATAATATTAAATACAATAAAAGCAACAGGAAAAAGAACTGCAGAGACTAGATCGACCTTTTGAGAAAAAGATAAAAATCTCAAAGATAATCTTCTTTTATTTTAGCTTACAAATTGTGCACTGTCACGAACAGGTTTAGCAGCTTTTGTTATTCGAGCTGGTTGTGGTAAGACCACTTGTGGTGTTGCATTGAGTTGTGTTGATGATGATGCATTTGCATTTGACATAGATGAATATTGTACATGTGAACTAGCATTACCACTTGTATTTCTATCACCACCACCACTACTTGATTTATGAACTAGTGTTTCCATTGTTTCACCACTACCATGTGTATCTTCTTTTTTATAAAAATGTACTTGAGCAAGACGATTACCAATAACCTAAAACGATTGTATTCAATATATTTCTTTAAAATAAACTCATCAAAATATTATACAACACATAAACTTATACAATATAAAGAAAAAAATATATATCTGTTTGGAAATCATATTTAAAAAAAATGAAAATAAAATAAAATAACTAATAATATGATGTGTATAGTGAAAATTATTTAAAACGAAATATAAAATTATTTGTGACGGTATATATATATATATATGTGTGTGAATGAGTGAAAAAGAAGAAGAAGGGAAAATAATATAATCTAGTGACTAATTTACTCTCTCAGCAGCAAAAGATGAGCCATTCTGTAGTCTTTGAATCAAAGTTAATTTCGGTGGTCTGTCCGAACTTTTTTTCTATAAAAATAAATATTATAATTAAAAAACATCACTAAATTTTACACTATTGATAATTATATGAAAGAAATAGAAAATAACGAAATGTTTCTTTATTTTTTCTTTTATTTTCATATATAATAACTTACTTCTTTTGAAAAACGAACTTGTTGTCTTAATTCACCTTTACGTGCAATAACATTGACCAATGCATATTCAAGTAAACCAGCAAAAACAAAAACCAGACATGCTGACATCCATACGTCAATTGCTTTGATATATGACACACGCGGAAGTTGTGATCGTATACCTAAATGAAAGACATATATCATATGCTAGTTTTGATTATTAACATTATTATAATAAGCAAAAAAAGCAAAGCAATGAAAAAAAGCAACGGGTATTATGGGAACCATCATTAGTTACCTGAGCTTTGAGTAGTAACGGTAAGAACAGTCAAAAGTCCGACTGAAATTCTTGCTGGAACCTGAATATATATATATGTTTAAATGAATATATATCAATTCTAATCTATTTTTGTTACTCTTACCGATTTATGATCAATCCAAAATGAAACAAATGAAAGGATTACAATGAGCATTGATGGTATATAAACTTGAACTATAGTAAATGGCTTTCTTGAAACTTTCTTTTCTCAAAATAAACATGATTAAACTCACCAAGATAATAACCAAATAAACGTTTTAAATGTAGAACAACAAGAAGGCATGTAAAACTGCCTAGAAAATTAATCGGGTTTGAAAAAAATAGCCATTTCATAAAGAGTCATAGAAAAAAAAACTTTCTTCATTTGTATATTTGCTGCTTATATAGATACAACAAAGAGAGAGTTGAAAGGCAGTAATAGTTTAAAAAATTATAAAACAAATCATGAAAAACGAGATGTAAATCAATGCATATTTGAAAAATAACAACCGATTGAACAAAAAAACACAGGGAAATGTTAGTGCATAAATTATATTTTGTGATTAAATAAATGTGCAAGCAAAATGCGCGTGTGTATTAGCTTTATCATCGAAAAAAACACAAAAAGAAAAGAATTTTTTGTACCTTCAGCCTTTGTTGTTATAGTAACAATGGAAAGTAAACTTAATAAGGTTCGTGCAGGATGTGATTTATAATCGATCCAAAATGCGATGAATGATAAAGTAACAATTAATGTCGACGGTAAATAAAGCTGTTGGATATATAAATTGAGATTTCGTTGTAATGCTAGATGTACTTCGATACAAGTAAATGTGCCTAAGAGCGTAGTGAAGGAAAGCTTAGTTGTAAAACAAAAATAACAAGATTTTCTTTTCTCTATATAAGCAGCATAGTTTCATAGATGAGAAAAATGAAGAAAGTTTTTTTTTTAAATAATAAATAATATGTATGTTTGTGTAGCTAACCTGTTGCTGTTGTTCGATTACAATATCGTGCTTCATGATTACTTAGAACAAAATCAGGCATTTCCAGATCTTCATTAACTCGAATAGCACTTATATTTTGAGCTTCATCCCAAAAAAATGCCAAGTCATTTGTATCGAAACCGTCTAATTGAAGAACAAAACATAAATAAATAATTAATTAATTAAATATGCATTATATAAATGAATATTATGATTCTTTTCTTTTTCTTTTTTTTTATTAATTGAAAGACTTGTCTGACATAAATCCTTCTTAGTTTTTACAAAGAGAAAAGAAAAGAAGTTAAGAAGCCCTTTTTTTAGAAAATTTTTTAACATACAACTGCCAATATTGACAACACAGGTTTGATTATCAAGTGGAAATTTCTGTAATTTCATTTGACAATCAAGCTTAAGTAAAAGTCTACAAATATAATCAATGAAATATTCGATATTTAATTTAAAATAAAAATAAACCTTTGACTATAAAGTACTTTTCCATCCAGATGTATACGAATTAATCGATTGGGTACTGTTATATCACTACGTTTACCTTCTTTAGCATTACGAAAAAATGAATCAGGTACCCATATACGATCAATAAGTGAATAATGCAATGTGATTTGTGGTGATTTTTTTGCCCAATCTGTTCCTGAATAATTTAATCTTGGATCATACCATGATTGACGAAAAATCAAATCTGTATTATAATCCTAATCAAAAATAATATATATATATAATGAATATCATTTGAATAAAACAAGTTCTACTTTCAGTAATGAAAATGTCTTACCATGTTAACTTCATTGATGGCTGAAATCGTATTAATATGAATCGTCATTGTCACATTGCACGGTTCTGTAATCGAACAGAATAATAATAATGAAAAATGAAAGAAAGAAATAAAAAATAATCTACTAACTATGTTGATCAAAAAATGGCCGAATGCGCCTATCATAATGACTTGAATTAATGAGTGTATCAAGAAATTCTTCAACTGTATTTATTGATGCATCATTGCGTAGTAAATTCGCACTAGAAATAAGTGTGAAGATTGTTGTTAAAATATGTAAATCGATACGTAGATACATAATTTGTTGATAATCACGAAAGATGATAGATAATACGAATTTATTTTTGAATTTTTTTCAACAACGATGTATAACATCGATTAATGTATGGAAAAGAACATAATAAGGCCGACAAAAACAAAAATTCTTAATCTACTAACATGATATAATAAGCACACACGTCTTTTAATATAGAATTGGTAGTGATGAATGCTCGTGGTATATTGATGTTAACAATGATGACATTTTGCACCAAAAAGGATAAATAAACACTTATCAACCGTATATCAATATAAAACTTAATTTATGATGCGAGATGTTTCGGTTTACTGCTTGGTATAATATGTCTTTAGCAAATGAATGCTCGTGTACACAGAATCAGGTTTTATCTGACTGTCTGAGTGACACTCAGTAGCAGTGATATGCGCGTGTATATTCTCGGTAAAGGGACGCAAAATGCAGAGATTGGCGACAACAATAATGACGAGCACATAAAACCGACAAGAAGTAAAGACGAGCGCTAGAGAAAAAGTGACAAAGAGAAAGATAGCTAGAAGGGGAGAGAGGGAGAGCGAGAAAGAGCGTAAAAGAGAAATGCAGAGAAAAGAACCAGACGACGAAGAAATTATGGTTCGTCATGTCTTCGGACGGAAGTATTAATGCCAGAAGACCCATCGTCAGCTTTTCTTTAAAAAAAAAAAAACAACTTAACTGAACGACAAATTAGCTTTTAAATCCAGACGTGACAAAGAAAATCATTATCATTTATGATATTAAAAAAAACACATTTATCTTCGTACAATGCTACTATAACCAATATTAGTCAATGTCAATGCTTTTTCATCTCTAAAAAAGATTCGAAAGCAAACATCTAATTATCATCAACATAGACATCATTAGATTGAGTACCATCAGTTACTACGCTCATATAATCATGATTAGAGATCTTATTAAGGAAGCATAAGGTTAATAGAAGTCTGAAATCTTATATTGATCACAAGTGTACTATAGCATATTTCCGGTGTTTCAGTTAAGCTAGTCAATAAGAAGTTTAATATAAGCTGTTGGTTTGTCGATTGCTTTTTAATCCATCCACTTTCTCATTCATGAAATAATAAGGATCCTAGAATATTTTTTTTGATTACAAAAGCAATCAATTTAGTAACAATCTTCAACTTGATGCACGATACATTGCTTTTATTTGCTTTCCACTTTCTTTTTTTATCTTTGTAAATTAACTTTTTCATCATTTGTCATGAACGTGTGAAACAACATGATATTAGAATATATAGAAAGACTTTCTAATCTGTTTTGTAAGACTTTTAATAGTTTTAATTTACAATAGTCAATGAATGTTTACATCTATAGAAACGAAGACATTGAGTAAAGAATGTATTTTTTTCCCCTTTCTGTGTCATCTGAAGCGATCTGATGTTAAATAAACGTCCATATGTGGAATTCAGCATTTGTTAGGAAGACGAAAAATACTAATATAATGATTTCTATCGTAGAAAAAATAATAGCAAAGGCTTCCCTATGGCGAGGTGTTCTTTTTATGTAACGCGACGATAAATTCTTGTTGGATTAAGTTGCTTCTTGATGATCAAGGACTAACTTCGTTCGTTTACATATATATATCGAGAGATTGTCTTAATGGAAAAAAGCATGACATAAGTTTATAATACTTAGACATAAAACATGTTCCGAATGATGATAGTTATATAGTAGTTCATTAGTCGCTTTCAAACGTTTCTACACACTATACACTCATAGTTCATAAAAACATGGTTTTTTTTTTCTCCGAACGAATTTCTTTCGAAACTTCCGCCTTAGTTTTGCCTCTCTGTTGTTTACTGTTGTTATTCGTCAATCAATTGATGTCGATACTAGACTAAATTATAAAGAAAATGTTGAACTGAAAAGAGAAAAAAGAAGAGAAAGGAACTTTACTCTTACAGAAAAAATCTTCATTGAATATAATTAAGAAAAGAAAGCAGTCAAAGACCCACCCGATAGGATCATTATTGATCACATTCTTCTTCTTTGTTAACTGTTGTTCACAAAACAATGGATATTGAAAGAAAAGTACATCAAGAATAATCACGATTAAAATATTTGTTCGAATCATGAATGACACTGGTTAACATTTCAATGTATAAGCATATATGAAGATAGACAATTATCACTTTGTTATCGCTGCTGCTCTATTATTGACAACGCCTTTTCTTTACTATATTTTTTTTCTCCATTCTTTTCTTGTTTCTATTCTTATTTAGCGAGATATGTTTCTTATATTACAACTTTTGTGTTGCAGCTGGTCACAACATCACATACTCAATGAAGAGATTTTTAGACGTTGCCTATTGATCGGAACCTTGCTTCGACTCTTTTCCATTCTTCTTCCATTGTCGTTTTTCTCTTATTCTTTCTGTGTCTCTTTTTTTTCTCATTTTTTTTCAACTTTCTCTTTCGTCATACTTGCTCGTCATGCTCAAAATCAATTTGCATCAACGTTATACGATTCAAAGCAAGCAACAACTACAGTAAATGATTAAGTTGCTTTGTCGACATTTATTTACTGTGTTCACTTTTTTTTTTTCTTCTTTGTCTTCACAGTTTGAGATCGACGTCTTTCTCGCTTAAATCGACAACGAACAAAGAACTATAGACTCCATGTGCACATATTTTAATGAATATAACGACGACAACGTTGATAAGAAGGCGTGAATGAATGTAATAACACCCGTAGAGATTGAGAGGCTCATGTAAACTATAATCATCAGCATGAGCATCTTTTTCTACTTTTTTTTAGTCCGTTAAGGCAAATCTGTTTTGCATGCGTATTCTCGCATGATAATTAGAAATAAACTATACAAGGGACACTGAATGTTATTCATAATATCATTTCAAATGTCGATTATTACTATTGTTATTATTATTGATGCTAACTGAGATGGATCAGTAACGAAAGTGCCAATTCCCTGAGTTCCTGTTTGTTTGTTCGTCTCTCCATTAGATTCTTTAGTATGATAATTTAATCGTGATCTTATTTGTTTGTCCTCAATATTGTTATAATCAATAGACAAGCTACAAAGGCGTGTAGCCTCTCTGTCTCTTTCTGTTAACGGTTGTCTCTTGATAATTGTCGTATATTTGTCTATCTTATCATGATTGCTGCAGAGCTCGGTTCTTATACTGATTAGCATAAGAATGTGTACACATACTAAGTAGCCGTAATTGATTCAATCATAATACAACGGAACAGATGAATGTTAGCTATATGTTTAAATATGTTGAACTTATCATTGAATTTGTTGCGCATCTCTCGGATCATAGTTATTTTTGTTTCGTTGATGGAATAATGAATAACCAAAAGAAAAAAAACAACCGACTCAACTCGGCAAAGAAATATAGATAGATTTCTGACAGACTCTAAAATAATGGGAAAAAACGAGGAATTACTGTGATCTGTTAACGCTTTGGTGAGCATATTGAACAAGGACATACAGCGACTTCAACGAACTGTAAGTATTATAGCGATGAGTTTTCTTTTTGTGACAATGATGACATTATCTTAACATATAATTGCATGTATGCTAAACGACTAGGTGAAGCAATCTTTATTTAATTGCTATATTGTATAATGAAGAAGAATTGGTTCCCTCTGTTACGTTTCATGCTAAACTATCTTGTATGTTTTTTTTTAATAATGATCTTAGAAGAATCAAGGTAAGAAAATTAATAAGCAATGTATTCAAGGGTATGGAACATCCGGATTGCATGTATCACAAGCTTCAAGCAATCATCCTGGCTATGAACGTTTTTGTCTGTATGGTTTTTCTTTTGTCTTATAATAGTAATAATAATTATTATTGTTGTTACTTTTACTCTAGTCATACATGTCATTCACTATTTCTTACAACCGATTGAATAATAAGCATTTGACATGTAACTCATATAATTTGGCAAAAAATATTCCTATTTTATTATAGGTTTAGATGTTAATAATAATGAATGTGTAGAAGAAGGAAATGAGTGATGTAAAATTACACATTTCTATTTTAAAGAAGGATAAAAAGGAAAATGCAAACTTATACTTTTGTCATTTCTAGTTAGTTTTTTCTATTGTTCTTCTATTTCTGTTTTAGGTCGTGTTTGTTATCATAAGATTTAAATGCGGTTCACAGCAATATCATTATCAACGGCACGAACATCTCATTAGTTTTCATGCGAATGCTATTCAGTTTTTTTTTCTCTATATTAGTTTAATAAACTTTGAAAGTGTGTAGCACATTAAAAAAAAGTAACAGAATGAATTGAAAAAAAAAAGCATCGCTTAGAAAATAAATCAAAATTTTTAACATACCAGTTACCAGCTGATGAACGTCCTGTATCAATCATTTTTTGCCACAATCGATGATTTGGATGACCATCTTGCAAATCAATCATTTCCGTTGTCATGGTTGTTGCGGTGACTGTTTGTAAAGCAAAAGAGAATATTTGACTGTAGATCCAAATAAACTGAAGTAACATTAACAGTGTGAGATGCATGGCACATTACGACATAAATCAAGACTGACTATGTGTCAGCCCGGAGATGAATCATTCATCCGTATCATTGACTTCGGTCATCCATCTGGCTATAATGTATATAAATTTAAATGTTGATATATATGTATATATTTGTGTGCAATAGCGGAAGCGAAATAGGTGTCGGTAGAAAAGAAAATGAGAAAAAGAAAAAAGAAAGATGAAAAAGAAAAGAAAAGAACAGACGTGTTGTTGCAACAATATATCACGCACTACATAGCAGATTTGCTATTTTATATTTTCATTTTTGTTGATTTCCACATTGCTCTCTCTCTCTCTATCTTTCTCCTCCTTTTTTTTCTCATTTTTTTCTTTGCGTGTGTCACGAGTCATATAGCAAGAAGAAAAGATCGTCTTTTTTTCTTTTTCTATAAATGGAAATAATGATAATGGATATATAGTGATGATGTTGATGGTGATGATGATGATGAAAGTGGTAATTCATCTTCCTTTCTCATCCTATCTTTTGTGTCACCAGATTTTGTCTTTTTCTGCTCATAGTTGTCTTTGAGGGTTACCGCATCGAAGTGTTGATGCATATTCTTTTGCAATGGATTAATAATTTACAAAAAAAAATTCACCGAACATTCTGTATCTCAACATTACTATTCAAAATAAATGCATCGTTGTGATCTTTCTCAATTGAATTGATATTTTATCCAGAAGACGTATATGAAGAAAAAAAGAAAAGAACCAAAAAAACTTGATAGCTACACAATATTTGTTCAATTTCTGACGCTTGACTATGTGCCAATTAGTTTCCGTTGCTAGTTATTAACTTGCAAATATTCAATTGATCTCTCTGCAACGAATTGTTACTTATGTTTGAAATATACGTATATGATGAAAAGAATTTCAGTATACAAATAGGGTTTAAAAGAAAACCTATTAAACTAATGATAAGCGAAGAAAATGAATAAGAATTAGGAAAAAGATTTTCCTTGAAAACGGATATAAACAACATAATCTGAATCTTTTAATGATGAGAAATATGCAAAATCTTTCAAATGAATGTATCTTATAGAACAAAACGGATGTCTATCTATTCTAAAAGCAATTCATAAAATAAAACGATCTTTTTTCTCGGTTCATTAATCAATAAAAATAGAAAAATAGGATAAATCACAATATGTATGTTGTATATGAATTCCATCGAATGATAAATACTGTTGAATGATTTCAAATTAACTTATGCTTACATATTTTGCTTAGAACTTTCTTTTTCTTTTTTCAAATGATGATTTAACTATTCTTTATACAACAAAAAATCAATAGATAAATTCTGACATAAATTTCTTTTCTATGACAAGATAATAATATTAAGTAGAACAAATAAAAATCAATAAATGTTTAGAAGATGAACATATCAAAACACTGACATAAATTTAAATTGATAATGACAGAAAATGTTCATTTCATAAGATACTTTGGATTTTCTTTTACTATACAGACACACACACCCATATATATATATAAGTCATCGCTAAAAGGTGAAAAAATAATTAGGAAAAATATAGGAATCATTTCGATCTGATTTTAAGTATTTTTTATTTTAGTAAGGAACTAATGAAAATAGTTCATTGATGGCAGGTCACGAAAGAGAGATTATACAACATACATAGAAAGTTTTATATAAGCTTATAATAAAATATGAATGAAGTTATTGCTGATAAGCTAAATGAATGTCTATGGCCTCGATCAATACATCGGATGTCTCATCTATGAAGCAATGTGTCATTAGACGTAAATAAAATAGGAGAAAAGAAATCTTTTTTTTTGATGCCCGCCTTACGCCTGTAAGCATCAGATTTTGATAGCATACTCAATCGTTTGTTCCGTTTCTGATAATGTCTACTGAATCGAACGGAAATCAACAGTCGCTCACACAGATTCACAATCAATATTGGATAGAAAAAAGAAAGTCTTGCATTGAAACAATTCAAGTAAGAAAAAGAAAAGAAAAAAACTCATATAAGATTTGTTCATGAATCAATTATTAAGAATTGAACTATTTTCTATTTCACACTTATATATATATATGTTTGAAATTCAACAATTATTTTACTACTATTGTTAAAATTATCATTAAATAATATATTGCACGACAATTCTTAATGTCCTGTCAGAAGATCTCTAGAGAATTCTATATTATCTAATTTGGATGAACAAAGTGACATATGATTGGGTGTATGAAAAATTTGTAATAGAAAAAAAAGTTTCTTACACTTCGATTCTATAAATAAATGTTTAAGCATATTTCTATAATTAACAGCTGTCGCAATTTCTCCTAGATTAATAGCTTCAGTCTAATGAATAAGTCGACCTTCACCAATGGTAACCAACACTTATAATATACGATCATCTACTTATTCCATTCTATCAATATAAAATATCAGGATAGATGATGAGCATATTTTTAATGGTCTCGGAAATAGTAATAATAACCATGTTTGTATACTCTCATCATATAAAAAAACAAGAAACTATTCATATTTGCTATCTAGAAAGTCAATTCTAAAATATATCAAATATATTGACATTTAATTATTTCGTACACTGCAGTTTAGTAGACTTTATTGAGATATAAAAAGTATATTTAAATAAATTATTTCCTGTACATATTATGATATTTTACTATTTTATAGTACATAGACAATGTAACAAAATGATATGTTATCTTAAAAAGAAATTATTGTTAAAAACTCTTTATTCGATCTCTTTTATAATAAATGAAACTATTTTGTATATGAGTCCATTTGGTTAACCTTAAAATTCTATACAAAAATACTCATATTATGTTAATGATGAACTACAGCATATTGAAAATAAATTTGTTTGAATTGAATGAAAGCAATTTATTCATTATGATATTGAAGAACTAAGCATACACAATAACAAAAAAAGAAAGAAAGAAACCAGTGAGATTGAAGCACAGTCAATCGAAGAAAAACGAATTCTTTATCATTAAAAAACACATTCAAGCACATAGAGAGTAATTGTAATTTATTTGTTTTAATGGACATTATATTCAATAAAATACTCGGAAGTTAAAAAAAAAAGAATTGATCAACATAATATAGTATATATCTATCACAGTTTTATTGGTTTTGTTGTTCTTCTTGTTTAGGAATAGTATCAGTAGAATTTGTTGCAAGATCAGGATTTGTTGAAAGTGTAACTGTTTCTTCGTCGTTATGTGTCAGTGCATGAGGAGATTGTTTTTTAATTTGCATACGATAAGCATATGTATCTTCAGTAGATTCAATACAACCGGAATTTAAATCAAATGATCGACCTTTCATAATTAATGATGATGTTGTTGGAGATGGACTCCACCATGACATAATATCTAAATGAATAATAAAAAAGAAAAACAAAACAAAATAAAATAAAATAATGAAAATATTAAAATATAATTTTATATATAAATTTACTTGAAATAACTGGTAATTGTCTTAAAAGACCTTCTTGTGCAAGTATTTGTTGATTTTCATTTTGTAAATCTTTTTGAACTTTTTCTATACCTATTTTAATTTTTTCTGCCATATCTTCAACATATTTTAATGCTGTTTCTGTTTCTTTACCACAATCAGCTATTTTTTGTAATAATACATCAAGATCATCACATTTTCTAATCATTCCTAAACGTAAATAAAACATTGAATCATGTTCATTTGTTTCACCACCTAATGAAAATGCTGAATCATTGGCTTGTAATTTTCTTGCTAATTCAGCTTGAATTGTATTTATATCATAGGATGATGCCTCAGATTGTTCATTTATATTAATATGACTTGGTATATAACGAATAGCTCCAATACCAGCCCAATTAGGCATTGAAATAGAAACAAGATTTTCATATTTACTTACACTTGATGAAAGACGTGCACGTGCAATCATTGTAGCAAGAAGAATATCACTGTAACGTTGCATATCATCAGTAAAACTTTGAATTTCAACTTCATCAATAACATCAAGTAAATGTTCTAATGGAGCAAATCGAATAGCATGAGCTGGTGTTCGATTTGAATTATTATCATCAGATTTTAATATTTGAAACTGAATACCTTTGAGTAATTCTAAATTCATTTTTGGATATTGTTGAGAAAGTTTATCGAATAACCAAAGATTAAGAAGATCAATATAATTATATAAATCATCCAAATTTCCAATCTAAATATATAGATATTGAAATTAACAATAAATAAAAATAATCTTTATACTCTGACTTAGCAATTCAAATGAAATATTATGATTCATGTAATCTACTCTATGACTTTGAATCGATAGATTTAATTCTATTGAAAAAAAAAATAACCATTCTTCAATGACCTGTTGATAATTCAAACTCTTGACATAACATAGAGCTACAGGTTAATTTCCGGAATAGAACAAATATTTTTCTATCTTTTGGTGTATGATTAATTCACAAATAATTACTTAATGTAGAAAAAAAAAGCATCGCAATATTATCATAGGCAATTTTCATTGAATGTCGTTTTGACTTTTTTTTTGATTGTTTATATATGTTTTGTTTTTTCTATTTTTGACATTTTCGAGTACAAAATCTCGCTTAGTTTTTGGGAAAAGCTCGGTATCATGATCAAGAAGATCTTCAGTCAGAATAGAACATATACTGTTTAGTTCTTTGTGTCATGAGGCATCGAATTTATTTTCTTTTTTTTTTCATTTTTTTAGCTACACAAATGCAAAGTACCCAAAAAGTTATTCAATTTAATGCCTATTCATATGTTAAAGAATTAGTCAAACAATAGGAAAACAATATGTTACTCCAAAGAAATAAGTTAGTAAAATATTTCCTGCAGATGCATAAGAAACAAGAATAAACGTTTCTGAGCATTTTCCATTTTTATTTTAGCGAAAAATAGAAAGGTCACTGAACTGGAATCGTTATGAAAGAAAAACTCACTCGATGCTTCATTACGACGAGAACCGAACAGTAAATATTCTATTCTAAATGAAGGCCCTCTTGACCATGAAATCGAGCCTTTCCTAAAAAACTAACTGCAATTTTACACTTGCAAATGACAGGAATAGAAAAGCAAAAAAAACCAAAAAAATCATTTTCCAATAAATCATATATCAATCAATAGTAAAATGTTTGGTGTATTTCGAAAACTAAACCACAGCTCTATGTAATGTCAAGAACTTGAGTCATCAAGAAGTTATCGAAAATTTTTTTTTCAATCAATAGAATAGGGTCTACTGACCTGAAATCATAGTTTAATATGAGTCTTAATTTTATTTTCGCTGTCGAATAAAAACTATAAGAATAGAATCGAAACTGAACATTCAAATATACATACTTCTGGTACATCATTAGCTTCAAAACGAAAAAGAACCACAGTTTTTGGTAATGAATCATCCGGTGCATCACCTGAACAAATACGTTTACAAGTTGAAGTTCCTTGATTATCATCATCCATAAGTATTTTTAATGTTTTAATTTGTTTTAAATTTTTTATTAATAAATTTGTTAAATCAAATGAATGTTTCATATGATAAAGAACATGGGCTTTTGAACATCGTTGACTAATAGACCATACACTTAAAAAACTAATTGATGGACTATGTAAAATAATATCATCAAATGGATGAGTTGTTAATGAATTATTATTATTATTAGTTATTGTTGTTGTTGCTGTTGTTGACGATGATGATATATTTGTATTTTTTGTTGATTTTGTTGATAAATTATCATTATTTAATCGTTCATCTTGTATAGCATTGTATTCTGTTGGTTTATCTTGTTTTATTTCGATTATTGGTCGAATCAAAAATGTTAAATAAGGTAAATTTTGAATACCTAATAATTTAACAATATCAATTGTTAAACTATCACAACTAATATTAACATTTTCTTTAATTGTTGATAACAATGCTAATGAACCTAATAAATCACCTATTCCATGAAGCCAAAGATTATATTGATTACAAAGTTGTTTTATTTTTGTTAATTCATCACAACGACCCAATAAATTAGTACCTAAAGAAAATTTTAAAAATTTTTAAATGGTTGTTCTTTTTTTTTTGTTGTTTTTTTTACATCCTTACCTGCATTTGCAATAACCATAAATGGATAAGAATTAGTATCATTTAAATCACGTTTAATTAATTCTTCAAGTTGTTTAATATCAATCATATCTTCATGTGTTATATCATTTTGTATATGTTCAAATTTAATATTTGATATTGAAGATAATAAATCATTTTTTACATTAATATCAAAATCATTTGATACATAGATAATAGCTTTTTTTAATAATAAATTATTTTCATTAGTTATTTGTTTAAGTGCATAACGTATTATACGTAAAAATGTTTCTGAACAAAATGATGAATAAAGTAATGTATCACAATTAATATGAAATAAATTTCGACACCATTCAATGATTTCATTTTGATATTTTTGTAATACAGATGCTTTAATATTAAATGGAAGTGTATCAAAAAAAGCAGATATCTATATACATTAAAAAAAAAAGTAAAAGAAAATTTAAGAAATATCGTTTTGTTTGATTTGATTTGATTATGTTTTTTTTTCTTTGGACTTACCATAGCAACATCACCAACACATTGTAAATATTTATTCCATACGACTTGAACACATTCTCGAGCTTCTTCATCTTCTTGTAAAAATGATAAACAATAGGATATAAAATCATTTTTAATTCGATTATTTAATTCAGCTATTTGATTTGTATTATCATCTATTTCATCATCAACATCATCATTTATATTATTTGTTGTTGATAAATTTTTTGTATTTAATATTTTTACTCGTGTAGATGAATCATTTATTCCATTTGGTTTTTGTTCCATCTTTTCTTCCATATGTATTAATTTAGAATGTTATCATAAAATACAAATCAAATTTGATATTTACCGTCTACTGATCAAATAAACAATCTAGAATGATAGTAGAAAAGCTAATAAATAACGAACATCTTTTACTATTTTATTTTATGTATGGTGTCTATAAAAAAATTGTAAATGTATATTCTTATTCGACTGTCACACATGTGTTTTGAATACAATATTTGAATATAAATATAACCAATGCCAATAATATAGATTACATCATAACGGCTCGAACTCATTTTTTTTCTTCTCTTTTTTCTTCTTTTCAGCAGGTAAAAAATAATGAGGACGTGGCAGTTGAAAGAACAAAAAATAAAAACAACAAACGCATGGTTTGTTTGCCTTTCTTTTTCGTAATTAGAAGAATAAAAAATACAATAAAATTTTGGTCAGATATATCTGACATCAACAAAACAATCATAATTTCTATTTCATAGAGTATAACAAAATTAGTTTTATGTACAATTTGAAAACATATACTCATACATCATTACGTAAATCGAATGAAAATACATTACATTATTCATGCTATTAATTTAAAAAACTATATTAAATTTAGAGAAAAAAAAGGCATATTGTTTCATCTATTATTCATCTTTTTTTTGAATTCCTTCTGATATTAAACAAGAAAATATTTTTTAAATGTTTCGATATATTTGATAATAGGATTGCTTATTATATCAAATAAAAAGCAAAGTTAGCAATAAAAAATACTTTTTTTTTCAGTAAAATTTTCTTTCAATGAAATTCAGTATATCTTTCATATTCATATAAAGCAAATCAAGAATATAATTATAAAAAAATCTTATTTAAAATATTCACGTTCAAATACGAGATAGATTGATGATAAACCAGTGACTTTACTGAGTACAGAATGAAAGTGGAATAACTTTTAAATTAATTCTATTGATCTGTTTAGTCTCAATTAACAAAGGGTTCACTAATTAGTGAGATAATAATAAAAAACAGATTTCTATTATAGTGATTAACTTATTGCATAGAAAACTAACTTAGAAGCAAATCGAGAAAGAAAAACTTGAAGTAATTCCATTCATAGATCTTAAAAGATTTAAGTATTCATTGATGTGCATCAAAAACATTCGTTACGATTATGAACTTTTAAAAAGCGAGTGACTACTTACCGATGATCAACTCATCTGAAAATCAATAAATAAATAAAATTAATCATTTGTGATAAAAAAAAAAGAATGAACATGAAAAACCATCTATATATAAGAATGTGCCGTATTTAGAATTCTATTATGTCAAGACGATAGGTAAATTGAATGAGAAATTTGTTCTGTACTTGCAATGTTTTCAAACATAGATATATTCTATCTGAATCCTTCATGTTAAGTGAATTGTTAAACGGTGATGATTTATCAGAATTTAAAAGAAAAACTCAGCATTTTTGTTTTATTTAATTTTATAATATTAAACAAAGTTTTTATATCCTATAGATACTACTGTCAAATTTTTCTGTTCGTCGTCAAGCTGCAATTAAAACAAAACCAATAGTTTTCTTGAAATCACACTCTATAGATAGCGTTTCGACAGATGTCATTGAGTGTTACATTTTATGTTATAGAAATGTACCAATATAATTCAAATTGTGAAAAACTTACCAGTTAATCGACAGTAAACTGTTCGTACACATGACGAGTTCGCCATTGGTTTTTCACGATTAGATGTGTTAGAAATGTGAAAAAGACAATCGTTAAATGGAATATGACGAAGTCATGTTCATATTTCTATTCTTAAATGAAATTTCCCTAATGTTAGTAAAGTTGAAGTTAACGAAACAAATTTATCATCAGAAATGGTATTTGCTAATACAACATAAGTTTTAAAATGATAAAAATTATCTTTTCATATTTATTGCACACTTTATTGGAATCTTTGTTAAGTTCATTGATACTATTTTGTTTAATTAAAGATTGTCTTATTGGCACTATAGAACACAATGTTCAATGCTTTATTTTAAAAAAAATGATTAGCATTTATTTTTAAGACATTTATTTCAAAAAATTTCTATTTATAAATTTATAATGATTCTTACATACATCTAAGAGCTGATTTCTTCAAATTAAAAATATACACTATTATTGTAGTAGTCATTATTTAAAATGAAATGATCATAGTATCACCAACAGATGAACATCAAATAAGTGTGAATTCTAATGTCATTAAAATTACCAAAATATTGGCAATTTTATCAAAGTTCATCTCGTCAATTAATCTATACTTTAAAAAATTAACGAATTAGTAATTCTATTCAGTTTTTCATAAGAGAATTCCAAAGAAATCCCTTGACAAATTCCCAAGGAATCATGAGAAAGATCTCTTGGGGATTTAAGCGATTTTCTTCCTCACTGATCGATATTATTTCAGTTAACTTATTCTATTCGAGCTAGAATTAGCCAAACTAGAATCAAGACTCGTAGGAAAAAGATCCTTTTTTTACTACTATACGTATGAAATACGTAGATATAGCAATGTTTAACTATTTTCTAAACAATGACTCATTGAAAATTGAACAAAAACTAGTGCATCCTGTTGAGTTTTACTTAGGCTCTTCAAAAAGAAAGTTGGATATAATAGTGAAGTGAATTGTGAAGAGAAATATTAGAATTCTGACTTATGATATCATACATGATAGAACCATCGGAAGAGTTTACAATGGTGTAGCTTGCTAATTGATAGAATCTCAGTATTATGCGTCAAGCTTTGAGTTTAAGAAACTTTGCACATAGGGTTACAATTCCCACTATCAAAAGCAAAGCGAAGCAACAATATCTGTATCCAGGAGAATCAATTCAGCAGTTTGATCTGATCGAATTCTTATCGGTTCTTCTTAGATACTATAAACAGTTTATAAGATCCAGCAAAACCTTCTATGAATATTCTCAGAAGTTAAATGATAATGTGAAATTCGGATTCATAGTGTTAGAAAACTCATCGACTACTTCTGCCCTAAACTGTACGGATCTAAGGTTGAAATGGAATGAGTTTGAGTTAAATGCCTGAAGTTCCTCAGTGATAAACTTCATATTGTCATTATCCATATACGACTATACATATGGCTAATCGATGTGAAAGCTTATAATTGATGTCTCAAAGTTGCTGATTCTTATCTTTTCAACAAATTCAGAGCTGTCTATTTGAACAGCTATTAGATAGAACAAAGTATATCAAAAAAGAATTTTTGCAATGATTGATGATTAATACAAGCCCACTTTTAAGAAGCGCTTACTAGATTTTTATTTACACTTGATCTACTTGTCACTGAATATCAACATAACATATGGTCATATTCTACTTTAATCATTAAAACTAATTAAAATGTGTAGAGCTATGTTTTCAGCGACATATATAGCATATTAAAAATTTCGATATCTATATCTTTTTCCTACGGCTTTTTTTCCAGTTTTTCTTAATAATAGTCTTATAAGAAGCCTGAGACACTGTCAGTACATCTCCGCGAAGCATTTCAAAGTTCAAAAATGCTCTATTAGTATTTGAAGTGGATAACTTTATTGACATTCTTGTAGAGTTAATTCTGAAGCAGGTTTTTGACGAAAAGACATTTTCCAGGTGATTGCGAATTTAATTAATCATTTCCTGGAGTCGCTGATAATTGATGATACATAAATTTGTCTCTATAAAAAATAGTCCAAAATTTTGTACTTAAAGGTAAAGAATATTTCAAAAGTGAAACTTTCTTTTTCTGACAGGTCAATATATACCTTGAATACCTCTGAAAAATAACAAACTTTTACTATTCTATTAAGGCTATGGTATTCATATTGATAAAACGATTAACATTCGAGTCTGTTGCTGGCATGAACACGATCGAAAGCTTAAATGCAAATGCCGAGCTCACAATAATTATATTAAGAATTTCTTTTCAATGGCTTGTTGTGCTATCTCGTCTTTGTTTTTCACGATCAGAATTGAGATTTTCGATAAACAAATTTGTTTTCTTATTATAATTTCCTCCACTAGTAGACGAATGTACTAAGTTTCTTGAAAGTTTTTGTTCAAGATTATACAATAATTGTTTAGTATATGTATTCAGATGCTAAACGACAGTGCTTAATTTTTCATTCTATGAAGAATAATAGAGTACAAAACTGATCCGTGACTTCGAATAGCTTTTTATTGTACTCTTGTACCTATTTTTTTTTCAATGTGTCGTTAAAAAGATAATATGATCAAAGGGTAAAAACATATTAAGAATACGCAGCGATTCGAAACTGACAACAAGAAACTTTCTGCATGTCGACTCCTAGTTCGAATAGACGTGAGATTATCTCTCTGAGAAAGAGAATAGGTTACATGTAAGCAGTAGTATTGATAAGCTTTTTTTTCATCTTACTACTTTTCTCCGAAAGTTGAAGTCGACAGGTGCGAATCAGTTGGAGTACTTCTCTCATAAGAAAGCAAAAAGAAAAGGTTCTTACTTCATTAACTTTTATTCAAACTTCATGACTAGCTTTGATTAAACATCAGTCACGATCGAGAAACGAATTGAAAAGATTAGTCACATTCAAAACAATAATCTGTGTTTATATTCAAAAAATCATTTCTCTAAATTTGCGATAGGTCACAAACGAAGAGAAATCATAAAAAAAGCACAGTTATTTTCGTTGTCCTTACTTTCCTCTCGCACTACTTTTCCATTTCTCACATCCAACATCAAATTTATGAACCAAATGCTTTTCTTCTATTTAAGGTTACAGTCTGCTCATCTGTTTTACTATCTGCCTTGAAAACTTGAGAATACTGAGATATTAGATGATGTTGATCATTTCGTACTTTCATTAATACTTTGTTATGCCAAATATTTACGGCTGCATATCGAGAGCACAAATTTCGCCCTATTTACGAGAACAAACTGTTTTGTATTCATTGGGTTTTGCCGAGTTTTCACCAGTTTAGCCTACCAAATGATCCCACCGATTGCTAGCGAG